TGCCCAATTCTACTTAATTGTATTCAAATGTCGCTAGGTACATTGGTATGCTGCTGCTTTTCACGATCACGTTCATCGTCGCCATCATTATTACTTCGCTTGGACGGCTGGAGTCCGTTGCTTTGATTTCGCGCTGACCTCTGCTCTTTGGCCTCCCTATCCCAAGCATCACCGACCAGCAGCGGACGGTGGCGTTGGCGATTTGATGGTAGCCCACGATAAGGCAACTCAGGGCTGCCGCGAGTTCTGTCAAGATGGTGAGGCGGCGTCTACCCGATCTGCAGACTGACCTCGTCAACGGCCAGTGTTAGGACTCCATGATGTCAAATGGGAGAACCTTGGGGGCTTTATTAGCGGGGGTAAATTTTACCACCGTGCGAAATGTGAATGTCTGCTTAACACCTCCGATTAGCACGGTTGGCTACATACGGTGCGAACGAAGTTCAACATACATACATTAGAACAACGTCCTGAAGTCCCGTAATGTACTTGGCATCTTTGTTACAGTATTAATGCACACCCGAAAATGTCCGTGAAATTTCACGGGTTAAGCCCCCCCCCCCAAAACGGACTAAATTTGTCTTCCTAAGATGTGCATGTGAACATATGTGTGTCAGCATATGTGTAGTGGGGGAGCGGTAGTGTAGTGGTGAGCGCGCTGCGCTACGAACCCAGCGACCCGGGTTTGATTCCCACTCACGGCCGACACCAGTGACGATTATCTGAACCGGTCCTGGGCCTCTCCCAGGTCCACTAAGCCTCAAATGAGTACCTGGTGCGATGTGTAAACATTGCTACTAGGGAGACAAAGGCCGCTGGGCGTGGTGTTGGCCACCCACCCCCTCGTGTGCGTGCCAGCCTTTATAGGTGCTCGCTAACAGCACTTGCCCCTACAGTCTGTTAAGGCTACACGGGGGATCTTTGTCTTGTCTTTGTGTCAGCATGTGTGAGCATATGGGTATGTGTCTATGTATACCGTCTATTTTCGTTTCGTTTTTCAAGCTCTTAAAACCATGACTCATTTGAACGAACGTGTGGACTCGTATCTATTACAACTGTGATAGGACTGATTCTGATCATTGCTGGTCGATTCATGTTTTGGGCCTTTGCTCAGAAATTGTGTAAAAAAAGATATGTGTTAGTATAGTTGGTGAGCGGTGGTGCAGTGGTTTATTGCATTGCGCTATGAAGACGGCTGGACCAGTCCAGGGATTCCCACCTAGCACTGGAGAGACAAAGGTGGTCAAGCGTGGTGCTGGTCACATTGCCCTCTCGTACCCTTGTTCCGGCCTACATAGGTGCTCTCTAATATATAAGAAATACGTATACGATCTACTTTTAGAAGCCAGACGGAATAACCTTTAAAAAGCTATTATTGGTCAAAATCGGATGTCGTCAGGAATTGCAAAGAACTGTTGATTTAAAAAAAAACAGAAATCTGTCAAACTGCATTATCGTTCCCTGCGTTTGCATCCTATTCTGTCTATTAAATAAGACACAGCGCCCAATCCAACCAAGCAGACTTGCGGATGATTAACCTCACCTCGCTGTAGGTCCAATATGTACTACATCATAACCCAAAATAAATTCTGTGGAATATTTTTTTTAATTCCCTCGAATCCCCTTTTAAAGGAAAAAAATAGAATTGCACGAGAAGTAGAACTACAAACTATGGAAAATATTAAACATTGCGTCTCATTGCATAGCCGTGCCCTTTCGAGGAGGCGACTTGGAAGAAGTTGAAGTGAAACTGTCCACGCTGAAGACGCACTTTGCCTCCGCACGCTTTCGTCTACAAATACAAAGCCGCTCGTCTGTGAGCAGCGCATTAGGTTGCGGTGACGTCGGAGTGAGCCGAGGCTGGGAATCGAACTCAGGTGGGCCGGCCGGGGTCGTAGCACAACGTGAACCGATTCTGCTGACTCCCCGAACGCCTTCACCGACACGCACTGACCGGCGTGGTGAATGCATGTATAAAAATAAACCCTCATCACCAAACACGGTGTGGTTTTCATCCAGCAGTCGATTTAAAAAGGTCTGCAAAAATAAGAATATGTGAATATGACGTTTATAAAGATGAACGGAACGTATAGAGAGGTTGAACAGAAGCAAAATATACGTAAGTGGTTAAAGCCATATCGTAATTAAACATTGGTTAAAGCACACGCTATGATTGCTTTACACAGTAAATAATTATTCCAGCACATCGAGGTAACATACACTTACTCCTGGGGGAGGGGAGGAGATTTCAGTGAAATAGGCTGTGAATTGAACTGAAATGATCGATTGCCCAATAGCAGTGTAACTATAGATCGGTTAATCGATTAATAGAGATATTTAAACTCCGAGATAACGTGCATCGAATCGCGCTTATTCAAATCGACGCTTTAGATTTACATACGTTGCCATGGAATACTCTCAAGCTTTTCGAGGCCGCTACAATCACCACAATGCTCACACACAAAAATAATCAATTGTTGAATCGAGTCGCGCGACTTGCATGATTGAGAAAACTCAACTCATTGAACATCACCCCTCGAGTAGCAACACCAAATCTCAGGGGTTCAAATGGTTCAATGTGCCGTGGTGGGGTGGTGGAACGAAAATTGGGGTTTAAAGCAGCAAAGCGAATGCACGAACGAATGGTATGCACGTTGAACTTCTTTCTCGCCGTACGCCGGCAACCGAATGGCAGAGCGCACGCGAGTGGCCTCCGAGGGTCTGTGTTTCAACAGGAGCCAGCCACTTCGTCTGGGCAGGAGCAGCAACAGCAGCAGCAGCGGTGCTCTCTAGCCTATTGAGTTTCGGCGCAACGCGCGTTGCCAGACCCTGTCGACTGGACCACGTTCCGCACCGCTCCATCTGGCCCCTCTCCACCAACAGCATACAAGCTCAGCGTGCGCACACGTAAGGAGCCGTCGATAAATGACGTCACGCACCTAGGTGGGGGGGGGGGGGGTGAGAAATGTGACGTCACGTCAAAATGCGCAATTTTAAATAAATATAAACAACACGTTCTACTTAATTAAATAGACTTTTTACTAAATGTTTTCTCCTACAACATCAGAGTGCAGCGCCACATTAAATACGCACTGCAATGACAATAGTTTAAAGCGATTTGAAGCATGTTTTATATTTTTTTGGGGGGGGGCAGAGCTTTGTGACGTCATATTTGAGGGAGGGGGGTCTGATTTTTTGTAACGCCGTGTGACGAGGGGGGGGGGGTCAAAAATCGTCCAAAATTGCGTGACGTCATTTATGGACGGCCCCTAAGCGCAATCACTCGACAAGAACGAGCGCCCGCCTTCGCTTTGGTATGCGGACCTCTGCATTGAAGATAACGGAACGCGATTGGGAGGGGGGGGGGGTGGCGGCCGCGGAGGTGCCCATTGTTTGCAACTAAACTAAAGCTGTGTTATTTACCAGGTAAAGCCACCCGGGAGCTATGAGCTATTTGTCAGAGGCCACACGTGACGATAGCTCATAAAAGTGGCGTATATCATCGTCGTCGCCGCCGTAACGCGTGGGAATTTAAAATAGCAGCCAAATACAGAAATCTTAAGGCATGATTTTAAGTGTGGAGGGAAAAACCGGAGGATCCGGAAAAGAAAACAAACACGCCGCTACTGTGAGAGAGAACACGCGAACTCCAAATGTACAACTTGGCATCGTTAGGGTCAGGATCGAACCCACGACCTACGACTGCGCAGCAGGGGAGGGATGTAACATCTTACCATCACGGCGCCCCTACTCATACAACCGACATGGACTGAAAATGCAATCGTTGTTGCTATTATTTAGACCAGGGCTTAAATTCTCACTGAACATGTTCAAGGTCGCTGATAGATTGGAGCAGGCACGGAACTAGAGAAGCCATAGCGACGGGTATACTGGATGCGGTGTGCCGAGTGCGAAAATAGTTTTTTTTCCGGGTCGCTCACCACGGACAAACGCGGCTAAAATTGAGTAATCCCTGTTCACAGAGCCATGTGTCAAGGGACTGATGGATGAACGCCCCTGATGTTGAGCCGTGTCCGGGAATCGAGCTGAGGTGGCCGGGGTCTATAGCAGGCTCGCCATACCAACGTGAGTATTAAATTGTCAGAGTATAGTACACTTAGCTCGTCGTCATCTGTAACATAATACCCTCGTCATTAGATCATGGTGGCATTAACGGAAGCTTAATTCCGCAAACCAACAATGTGCATTTTTATATTTGGGAACATTAGATTGTAATAGTGATATGATACCAATAATAATGGTCGTTGTACATCCACTGCTGGATAGAGTTTCCCATCGCAGTGTCGGTTATGGGGGTGGTTTGACCATACTTCGCCACCATAGGCAGTGCAGGTTGGTGGTGTGCCGTGCCAGCCTTCATATGTGCGACTCGCTTACAGCACTTGCCCAAAGAGTCTGGAAAAATGCTGTGTATTTGTATAGGTGGGGAGAGGACCATGATATCCATATATTTAGTGTATTAATAATACAATTTAACATGTAAAAAATATATACCATAAACCACAATTATGTCTAACTCTAAACTCACCACATATTACGTTCAGACTTGTAGGCAGCACGTGTTTGCGCGTGCTGCATACAAATCAATACACGTGCATTCTCATTTCTTCTCTTAAAGCAAGAGACGGGGTCATTCATTATTCACTGTGTCACACGCGGATATAAATACCGAGCAGCGTAATGACGGCGCACGTCTGTTTTCACTTAGAGGGTGTATAAAGGTATTTTATAACGGCCAGCAATGAGCCTTAACCGCACCACCACCGCTCCCCCAGCCTGCACGGAGACTCCAGACTTCGGGAGGAGCGGGAGGAGGAGGATGGAGGGGGGAGGAGGAGGAGGGGTTCCTACTTTTCTCCAAAAAACGTTGTGAGTGATTTTTTTTGGGGTGGGGAGGCCTGGTGGTGGTGGTTGTGGTGGGGGTGAGATTCTCACTTCCCATTGGTTTCTCTCAGCCCACCGGTTACCGCCCCCCAGAACACTTCTCAATCGAACGAGTTAACGGGTCCTCCTGATGAGACGTATACGCAATGAAGCGCTTTAGGGGATGTGGCTCGAACTCCGGCGTACTTATAGGTTAGTCGCTGTTAGTTGCCTTTTGGCTGCTAAATAACCGAGCGATGTCACCGAGCTGACTGCAGCTCCTTGTTGTTGTTTTTTTTCCTCCCCTCCCTTTTGTTTGGTTCCAATGCTTTCTCAGCGAGCCACATTCCGCGCTGTAATTCATGTAGCTAAGAAGTGGCTGACAATGTGAAATGTAAAAGCAGTCGCGTTGCTTCGTTCTCTCACGCTCCTCCGCCTCCCCTCCCTCCTCCTCCTCCTGCTGCTGCTGCTGCTCCTCCGTCCGCCTCCTCCGCCTTCACGTGTCATTCTCTTTAAAGCTGAGAGCAACGTACAGCGCAGCAATTACCGAAGTCGCAAGACACGCACTTACAGACAACGGGGGGCAGTAGTGCTGGTTATCGCCTGGCTCCTTCAGCCACGGCGCGGCTGCTAGGACTAATTTACGATCCCGTTCTTTTTCCGTGGGAGTGTGCGTCTACAGCTTTCAGCTTCTCGCCAGTCCAAGATAGTATACGTGCCGTCAGAGGAAAGGGGTATTTGAGACATTGTTGAAGAGCTAGGGTAGCAGGGGAAGTTGGAGCAAGGGCTTGTAGTGGCGGGGGGGGAAGTCTGCTGCTGGCGGATGGGGTGTTGGAGGAGATTCGCTCTCTTTCTCTCTGTCTGGTGGACCCGGCTTGGATGTTGAGAGGCGACACATGGCTTTGGAGAGAGCGTGGCCCCGTTGAGAGTGCAATGGGGGCGAACGGCAGCAAACAGGACAGCGACACGGGTGAGTGGGCACACCAGTATGCCTTCTTGGGCGATGTCCGTTTGAACTTCACTCACACGGTGTGTGTGTGTGTTGACTGATGAAAGTAACGTTGGCTATGCACCTCTGATGTGCCGTGGGCATTCATGAGAGAGAGAGAGAGAGGGGGGGAGAGTAACACGGGATGCACAATCGGTGTTAATGAAAACGTGTGCTGGAATCCCAGCTGATATGGGAATGGTTGCCGAACGCTCGTTAATGCTGTTGGTCAAACATCCCAATGCAGGACCCTCCTGAAATATATCACGAGGATCAAGTGAGGCATTACTTGGTGAATAGTTTACAATATAATTAGCAATGTTTATGTATGGCGTGTACGTTTAATATTATACTGTAGGTGTGTTTTAAGTGGATTTTACTGCACGTTTGCCAATATGTCAGACCCAGCATACCTGGGGTCCATGACTGACTACGGTGCACTGATGAGCTCCAAGAGTACGAAGCTACTTTATTATTTTTGTGTTGTTCAGTTCCAAATTAAAAATGTTGCCTTTGAAGTTATTTCAGCTCAGCCTTGTACGAATATATTTTCATAAAGTGATTGTTGATTTACATAGCATATCATTTTAACACAAAACATAACTAAAATATAACATTAGGAGACAAGGCTAATGTATCACCATCTCTCTATTAAATACTAAATAAATACATTGTAAATTAACTTCATACATTATATACATCTGCCAGCACTCGTGTCCACTGTGATTTGCACTGAGCAATAACTTATTATACTGCACATGTACTTTAAAATAGCCTTAAGTCTGTCTCAAGGTCATTCACACGTATACCAACTAATTTCCTTATTTGGCGGTAAACATACCCAAACAAGGACATGGGGAATGCAAAGGTGAGTTCATAAGTTTCGAGGTCAAAATTCTGTCCAATAAAAAACACCCTTGCGTCACGTTACACTTAATCTAAGGCTCCACCCCCTCCGTTTAAGCCCTGATCTCACAATGAACACGTTGGTGTTGAGGATCTATGTTCCTCTATATATATAAAAAAAATTCTAAAGAAAATGTTAACCAACCCTGGTATGTGAAAACGTTTATCTCAAGGCTGTTGCGTGTCACTGTCCACGCACGTGCAATCGGCGTGGCTGGCCTTGCCACAAGTCTTGTGTGCCTGGAGGTTAAAGGTGCCCAGACAGGCATGCTCTGTGGCACGCTTGTCCCTGCATATCTCACGGTCTCTCGTCCAGGCTGTGCCTGTCTGTCTTCATATCTGAAATAATCATTAACGTTGTTGGGGAAAATAAAAAAATGAATAGATACGCAGACAATATGTATACTTGATATGTCTGTCTCTCCACGTAAATAAATACATCTTTCTTACACAATCCATCAGCCCAACGAGCTTCTGGGAATAAGTGCATCGTTTGGGCAGCATTGATTCAGCACAGACAACTCTGGACAAGCAGACTTTGAAACCAGGCCAAGTAGACGTACAGGAGGCATTGTCTGCTCGCCGATTTTGGCTTCATATCTGTTCTTGCGGCGTCTAAACTTTTCTTTCCTAATTGTTGAGCCGACTCTCTTGCTAATTAATAATTTCTTCTTTAAATCGTTGACAACTTCTTTATGTCGTCCCCGTTTCAACGTGGGGTTTATTCCAGGAACTCGTTTATCTGAAGGAAAAATCCCGATATCCAGACGAAGAGTTATAAGATTCAATGAACATTTTCTCGGTTAATGCAAAATATAAACAGTAGGATTCATGTTATTGTGTTGACTTTGGCAGAAGGTGTTCCTCTTGGATTTTATTATCCACGTTTATCTGAGCAAAATAACTTATATCAGCGGTCAGTTTGCAATGAAAGTGCTCTTTGATGCACGTATGCGTGTGTCTGTGTTACACATCATAGCATGATGTACTTGCATGCACGCACACACACACACGTATAATGTAAACGTAAAAAGTTACCTCCGCTTGTGAGAGGTAAGTGCACTAACCACATTAAGGACCGCTCATACGTCAAGCAGGATATTTAATCTCAAACAGACATCTTTAAAAAAAAATTCAAAGGCGTGATCAAGATTTGCGTTTCTTAAAATGGAGCCACACTTTTAGATTACACTTTTAGATTACACTTTTAGATTACACTGTTAGATTTCACTTTTAGATTACACTTTTAGATCACACTTTTAGATCACACTTTTAGATTACACTTTTAGATTACACTGTTAGATCACACTTTTAGATCACACTTTTAGATCACACTTTTAGATCACACTTTTAGATCACACTTTTAGATCACACTGTTAGATTACACTGTTAGATTACACTTTTAGAAATTGCATCCAGCTTGCATGTCGGTACTTTTTATGCACACTCCTCGGTGCAGAGGAAATTCTGGAATTTCTGGTGAAATAAAAAAAAAATTCACATCCACAAGTCTCCCACTCAGCACTCTGGCTTACAACTACTTTCTGACCATTACTAATGGTATTTGTCTAAGACAACCCACAATAAACGTGGCCTGATCTTGTTAGGTCTTAGAAAATAAGCGGGATGGTTAGTACTTGGACACGTGACCACCAGGGCGTTCCAGGTGTTGCAGGTGTGTGACTGCAAGGTGTGGACGAGATACGGAAGTGTGGAGTACAATCCTCTCGCGTGCATTGTGGGTTCTCTCCAGGTATCCTGGTTTTCTCCCACATGCCAAACCACGAATAAATGAGATTGGTGAAGCATCCCAATGTGACTCAAGCGAGGCTTTGCAGAGCAAATAATTGACAATCACTTAGCATTGTTGAATGGAAATGTAGGACTGACTAACTAAGACGAGATTTCATTATGATAGCACATACTGTTGCTAATCGATATTTGGTGACACAGCAATTGACACTCAATCGTCTTATTTAAAACTTTAAATTACATTTAATTTATATCGGTAATAAATGGTAATATTATTCTTAAAATTGTGTATATGCCCAGGAGAGACCTGCTACATTTTTAAACAACGTCGCGGCATTTTTCCAATCTGGAAGTGGCTGAGATGGAGCATGTGAGACAGAAGGCGCTCGAACATTAGTAATAATAACACAAATGTGTTGTACATTTCGTATTTACCCCATCCTTATAGGGCACGATGGCGCTGTGTCCCACGGATGTAGTCTGCAGGAGTTTTACAGTGTGTGTGTGGGGGAGGGGGGGGGGGTCACGTTGCTATGTGTAATCCCAATTGGGTAACTTTTTCTGAATTTGCCACAATTCGACCCTGATGCCAGCAAACAATTGGCCTACTCTCGCGATTGACGTCAGAGGATCTTTAACGTCCACTCTGAAGCAGTCGGGTGTGTATTTTATGGTGAATACACTCACGGTAATGACCAGAGACCCAACTGCAGTAGGGGAGCACACAAGCACTGAGCTACTGCAGCCGGTCTCGTGTCCCATCGTTAACAACTCACCACTATATTCTTGGTTCTTACCGAAAGAACCAAGAATATGAATCCCTGCAGTCACGAAAGCTTTAAATCAAAATTTAACTCACCACTAATTATTAATCATCGCAGCACCTAGGTGCCCTGTGAGCAAGTTTACCGTTTCGTGCTGGTAAATTATGAAAGATAAATTGTAATCACCATCACGTAAACCTTGGCTCCGCCTCTGCAATAAAGTTGGCTATATTCCAACTCTGAAAATTAATATATGGCTTTCACTTTCATGCAACGAACATTACTCTAATATGCAAAGTTGGCGGGATAGTGCTTCCCTCTACGTAGAGGACCAGGGACCAATTGAACAGATCTTAAAGGTAGCTCTGTGATATTCGCTTCTACGGACTGTTATCTTAATACAATGAGTGCCATTGCTTTGTGAGAGATCTGAATGGATTATTAATCTCGCGGCGTGTTGCCGATAGCACAATCGGGATAAAAGTGGTATCAAAACATTACAGAAAAAAGTTTAAAAAAACATGGAACTGTTGCATTACTGGACATGCAGCTTACTCTCATTGACTGCTAACTGTTCTCATTGCGTAGGTAGCCTCCAAACAGTGCTCCATTGTTCACGGGGTCAGCTGTGGGTCTCCTTCAAGTTCCCAATGCTTTACGTGGCCCTTACTGTGTCCTCAAAGGTCACAATTCATGGGGTTTTACAATTCCCGGCTCTACCAACCGATTTGAATCAATAATTTCTCAATGCGTGGTGCAAGAATGGCACAGGCTGTTGTTAGTCTTACATGCTGAACCAACAAACACAATTGTGATCCAGATTTGACACGACATCTCTCTTATTGTACGCTGTGGGTTTTTTTAGCATATTTCGCGCGCCTGGTTCCACCAATTATGCAAATGCAGGCATGCAGTACAATAGTTGATGTGCACGCACATTCTAAACAAATACAATGCGAGTGAAGTAGCTCCTGCTCCTGCTTTGTTTATTACACCCAACCAATGAAAAATATTAGATTGTGAACGTGCTAAAGGTATATATGACAAAGGGGTATAAGTTTGCTTATACATAGAGACTGGTTCTCTGCTCTGAAAAAAGTCCATTGCCAGACAATACTCTTTAAAAAAACTAAACTATATTTATTTGTATGAACTTCTATCCTCGTGTACGTTTAAGGTGTTAGTGTGGCAGGTTTCTTTCCTGGCTCCATAAAAATTCGTCATTCTCGTTTTGAGACCTCTAAAAAAAATCCTGATTGATAGCACGGATGGCATCATGGAGCCGGTCCGTGGAAGTGATCTTCTTCAAGGACTGCGACTCGGAAGCACCGCTGTACAAAGCCTCCGAGCACGACGCCTTGATGCCCACCAGAACATCACAAGAGCACACTCACAGTCTCGAAGCGGCACTCCACCGAAGCCCCCGCAACATGGGGCCTTTTGTGGACTTTGTCACAACCAAGCTTCTGCTTCTTGGGTGGCTTATATCTCTCCTCTCGACTGCCTACCGCCACTGAACCCACCCCCCCCCCCCCCCCACCAGCCTTCCCCACATGTGTC